GTTATGACCTTCATAACTCCGTGCATTACACTGTGCTCCGGTATCCAACCATCGTATGTACTGTGCTGTGTTCAAACATATTGTACTTTGAACTGCGTACTGTAAAGGGAAAATTTTACCCTTAGCGCTTCAATAATTTCCCTTTGTTAACGAATTTGTCGAGTGCACCCTGTTGCTAGTCTATTGCCATTGAAATTTTTACCTGCAAAGGCTGTTCAAAGTAGCTGTTCAAAGTATTCTCGGCGTAGGGAGGCTGGGAAATATCTCGCGATTCCAAAAAAAATCACGTTTAAATGGACAGGTTTGCGAAAGGAACGTTTTTTTAAACATGAATCAGCTTTTACGGTGAAAGCGCGCTTATTTGGGTCGCGTTTTGGGATGGAAAAAAGTTCCGAATATGGGTGTTTTTATCAAAAAAAAGCCTTGCGATAGCACAGGATACCTGAAGACGAACTGTACGACGATCTCTACGTCAATCAGATGGAATCGTGTCATGTGAGAGGCCCGCAGCTGCAGAACTGTGCCACTACGTTGATCGAAACCGTGCGGAAATAGGCTGGACGGTTGTGGTAGCTATCCACAAAGCCCACTATCCACGACGTGCAGCATGTATTTCATATGGCATGAGGCAACGAACAACATAAGCAGCAAGCGCCTCTTGCGGCCAAGTGTAGAGATTAACCAAACAAGAGAGAGCGCAGACAGGCAGCGCGTTTGACTATGGTTAGGCGTATGCGTGAGTGGACATGGCTGTTGGAGAGGGCTAATGCCGTTTGGACTCCAGAAATTTCGTCTTCGAGCTCATTTTCAAATTGCCTAAGTCACCAAATCCACTAAAAACTTGTATATAGGGGTAATTCAACATCCTGATCACGAATATGACATTCATTTTTGGCGCTGGCGCTAATGGATGACACTACGGTTACCTGCGCTCTGCTATGGCTGAGCCCAGGAGGTGGTCGCAGTGTCCTCTCTTGGCGCCAGCGCCAAAAATGAGTGTCATACTCATAATGAGAATGTTGAATTATCCCTACATACAAGTTTTTAGTGAATTGGTGACTTTAGACATTTGAAAATGAGCTCGAAGGCGAAATTTCTGGAGTCCAAACGGCATTAGCCGTTGGAGAGATTATAGGGGGAAATCGGGGATGATCCTCTCCCTTTGTGAAGCTCTTCAGCCTTTTGTCTGGGTCCAACCTTGGCCTTGAAATCACCAACGAAGCTGTGGTTTTCCTTATAAACCGTTTCCTTCATTAGAAAATGTTCCGAGATCCTCCCCCTGACTTTATACTGGTGCGTACTCAACGAGAATTGTCGGAGCCTGAAGTACATCTGTCTGCTTTGGGCTCAAAACACATCGATCGTGCGGTGAAGTACCGAAGGGCATCCTGTTTACCCGTTGGCTCTGAGGTTCTTGCGGGTGGTGTGTCAGGACTCACCGCCGCGCTGGGAAGTGGGTCACCGCGCGCGGCGATTACATGCTTTAACATGTTTGCATGTTTGGACATGTCTACCTGTTTGGACATGTTCTTGGCAGATGGAAGATGAGGAAAAGAAAGAACGCTCCAAGCAAACTGCGATAGGGTCATGTTGATCGGAAGTTGGCAAAATGCCAGGTCAGGACTCACCGCCGCGCCACGCGAACAGGTCGCCGCGCGCGGTGACCTAGTTTCGAGCGCGGCGGTGACTCCTGGCCGTCTCCCGGTTCTTGCAGCCCCTCTCGAAGTGACCCCCAAACGCTGCCCTATTGTAATTTCCTGGTGTGTTATTTTCACTTAGCCGAGCGGTGAAGAAAGCTACTTCTTCACAAGCTTTCGAGATCTAAGGGTGAGGCAGGGGACATCACTGGTTGTGGATTTTGGTCGCGTCTGTACGACCCACCCCCTTTTCTGGGATTGGTACGACCCCCCCCCCCTCTCTCCGGCCCTCGGTCCCTTCTCATCGCAATCGAGCGCGAAAGAGGGGTGAGGGCGAAGGGGGGGGGCAGAGGGCGGTAATTATAATTGTGGTTCGCGGCAGACGGTTTGGCGCGTGTACAGTGCGGGGCTTGCGTTTGGCGCCTGTGGCCAGTTTCATTCTAGCACCTAGTTGTTGAAGCGGGGCAAGGTAGGTTAATAGCGTATCCATCACCTTGCGGATTACTCATTTTCTACCTTTTTGTCGTATGGCGCTTGAATTAAGAGGAGCAGAACTGCTTGACGGCCGTGACACACTCTTACTGGCCGACAAGCATGTCGTCACTCTAGTTCGGCTACTCCGCGCAGCGAACTAGAGTGACGACCCCCCCCCGTTTACACGCTCCGTGAGCGAGACAAATCAATCAATGGAAAACCTCTCTCTCCCGGCATGCCAATAATACGAGCCCCCTCTCCCGGCGACCAATACGACCCCTCCTATTAGGGAATTCCCAACAACGAATGTGCCGCTTGGGCGTGCGAGGCCAAACTTAGTACCTGCCCGGCCTTCCGCGGCTGAGTGACCAGCGCCGGAGCGTCAGGAAGGTCACGTGGGTTTCAAGTTCGCGCGCAGATGCGCCAGGCTCCGTCTGGAACAGTCATTCATGTTTGTACAACAGTAATGGCTGAACGATTCCTCTATCACAAGTAGCTGGAGATTATTGCGAGCTGGACATGGCAAAAGAACAATAAGGCTACGTAATGCAGTCTAAAAAATATGACAGACCAACAGTTATACAAGTCAGTATATCCTGGATTTAACAAAATTCGGATTTAGGAAGTTCTTACCTTGTCTTGATGATGTGTCCGTCAACTTCCAAGAGGGGTTGCTTCTGCTTCTTCTTGTGGTTTATTCTGTTGACTGTCCGATTCGAATTTTGCGGTTAGATGTCTTCTTCGTGGTAGTGTGTCACTACTCTATTTGTAGTGAGAAGTTCTCGAATTTTTAAATCGCATCTCTTTTCATATGTTGGAACGGAGTGATGTGTCCGAGATATTCAAACTGTTCGAATCGCTTTGCAAACCAATTTGAAAGAACATTTGTTCAATTTCAGGAACTTTTTACAGCTAACCTCTTGATCCTAGCAAACGAATATGTTACCGGTTATTTCGGTCCTTTTCTCTGGGAAGATGGTTCAATTTCGTTATCTACCGCACATGTTGATATACATTTTCAGAGCGAGTCTATTGTGGCGGTTTTATGAATTCCTTTCAATGATCCGGGCCGTTTGTGAAGACCTATGGACCCCTGTCAAAGTTTGAAAAGATTCGAGCTTTATTTCCGCGTTATTTCTTCACTCTTTGTTTCGCTTTACGACATTAATGCAGAAAGGTACGAAGAAGTATTTAAGAGCAGCGAGATAAGAGAGTATACTTGACACTTGTCGGTGTTTCTGCATTCGTTCTGAATTTTACTGCTGGAGGCCCCCCTCTCCCCCTCCTACCGCCGAACTAACAAAAAAACAGCGGATAAGGTATCCGCGGTGGATATGATAGCTCGTAACATTCATAATCTTCACAGGAGTTCACAGGTCCTCACAAAATGGGGCCGACAGGAAACAGGTTAACCAAGTGGCCCCTCTCAGCCGATCTACGACGTTCTCTTTTCTTCTTGATTTCCTCTATTTCTACAGCTGCAGTGGCATTGTAAATCTCGTTCGACTAATTTTACCTCCTATGTTTTCGCCTATGTGACTTCTGAAAACATTTCGTCTATACTCGTATTCCCGATGGTGCGTTTTGAAATGAGCTTGATTCGCCTACCTGGCAGGTTTTTCATCCTGTATTGAAGTTTAATGCTTGACGACGCGGCACAGCCGTTAGGTACCGATGCTACGGAGGAGCAGAATGAGCCGAAGTGTAACCCGTTTGGGACACGGTAAGCATTTTGTTCATTAAGCTGCGTTCATACGGCGCCAGCGTTTCGAGCGTACGGCAGCGTATTGAGCGACCGCTCACAAAATGTCCAAAACTACGCGCGAACGCTCACTGCCGTGAGCTCAAAACGATGGCGCGAAGTATGAGCGCGGCCTTAGAGCTCCTCGACATATGCTCCTACACTAATTACCTTTGTTGCACGGTTTCTAGGTATCTGACTGATGAGAGCCGTGTGTGGGAACACAATGCATGGGATAACGTGGATTGGAGTGAAGAAATGAAGAACAATGCTCATCGAGTCATTGAGATTCAGAAGCAACAAGCTGTTGACAGTTCCACAGCAGAAGAGTTGATTGGAAAACCCGAGAAACAATGGGATGCGTTCTACTCACAGCACAGTAACAATTTTTTCAAGGATCGACGATGGCTATTGAAAGAATTCCCGGAGCTGGATATGAAAAACTATCCGGAGGTAAGGAATTCATTCGAACTGGATTAGATGTTCGGCGCACTTCGGCTTGGTGGGGGCATTTTGCTTTGGCTGACTGCGAACGTCCTATCTCGGAGTGGATTCGCCTTGTGCTCGCGTCACAGACACGGGCGCTGAAGACAAATTTAGGTGTCAGCGCCCTGGAGAGTTTCGCATTCACTCTCGTCTTTTGTCTTCCTCCCAAACGAGTGTGATTTTCGTGTCTGGGGAAGGCCGATCCACCGAACCGTTCCGTATTCCTTCCTTGCCCTGTAGTTCGCATGAGTAGTCGGAGAGACTGTCCCACTTTCCGACTCTGCGACGCTAGTCTTCAGCGAACGCAGTGATTCAGCGAACATAGTGAGTGTTTTCGAGTTGTTTGTAGTGAGGTGTTCAGGCAGACGGACTAGGTATAGTCGCCGTTCAAAGTGGATGTCATTTTTTGTTCAATGGAAGCAATAATACTCCCGGGTGAATATGCCACCCAAATCTCGTCTGGATTCTGAAATGCGAGAGAGTGAATGATAAGTGGTGACAACATTTCTCATTATATGATCCAGAAATTTAGTTGCTTACAAGTAAACCTTCAAAGTAGCTAAAGAAAACTTCGACTGGAACATTTTGCCCTTTATGGGTTGAAGTAGCGCGAAGAAAACGCCATTGTACTATGCCGCTCTTAGACGCCAGGTGTTCGAGCGCCTTCACCTTATACTGGCGAAAAGCCAGCGTCACAATTTATAATAAGGGAAACGTTGATCCTGATTCCTGTCAGGTATTCCCTCCCCCCCGCCCTCCATTCCCCCTTCCCCCATTTTTTATTAGAGTGGAACTGGGTGGTGAGGCGTCCCCGTTAAAAACCCTGCCGCCATCTAATTCCTGAAAGTGTGGCAAATGAAGAATGTCAAAATCATATCAACTGTATGAGGTGTTGTTGTCATTCGAGGTATAGTTCCGATTCTTGCAAACAATAGGGCATCTCAATGAAGGCGTGACTTGGCCCGCAGCTAGGCACGCCCTCTCGCCTATTTGTTGCGGAACTTTGGATTGGCACATTGATGGTAGAGTGTTGCATTTTCAGCGCTACATATCACGCCAGGAGCGACGCTGTATCGTTTGCGAGGGATCATAAGTGTAGACGGAAGTCCAGGAACAGAACTGCGTCTAGTCGTCCCTGCTTAGAAAGGGTAAAACGCGGTTAGCTTATCTACCAAATGGGGGAGGTCTACCTCACTAATATCTTCCTTTGAATTCAGTCTTTTGCTGGTTGCATATAGTATACATATTCTGCTTGGATTCTGCTTTTTAACTTTCATAATTACTACATTTTTCAGGGATCCACTGTACGCGTTCTGGAAGTTGGATGTGGCGTAGGCAACACTTCGTTCCCGTTATCGGAATGGGATGAACACCGAAGAATGTATCTGTACAGTTGTGACTATTCAGCAGTAGCGGTGAAAGTGTTGAAAGAGCACGAGAAATACGATAGTTCAAGGATGTGTGGATTCGTCTGGGATATCACGGAAGATGCACCAGAAGATGCCCCGGCAAAAGAATCTCTAGACTTTGTTGTCTGCATATACGTATTGTCAGCAATACATCCTTCAAAAGCTCGGCAAGCTGTCGACAACCTTGTAAGCCTGCTGAAGCCCGGAGGGATGCTGTTACTCAAGGATTACGGTCGATTTGATCTCACTCAACTTCGTTTCAAGAAAAGCCGTTATATTGATGAAAATCTATATTGCCGAGGTGATGGCACATTAGTGTATTTCTTCAGTAATGACGAATTGGACGCGTTACTCCGATCAGCAGGACTTGTTCAAAAAGCTAATTTTGTTGATAAACGACTGATTGTTAATAGAGCTAAGCAAGTGAAAATGTATAGGCAATGGTTGCAAGTGAAATATCAGAAGCCTCAATAAAGTTTTCTATTACCACACTGTACCAATGCACTGAATTTTCTGTCTGGACCGTCAGTACTTACAGTTCGCATATTTACTTATTTCAGTGTTTGAATCGAAATTCCGATTTTGATTAGGTCATTTTCAGAATAAGAAAACGCTGCTGAGGTTGAGTTGTGAAACTTTACGATTTCGACCATTGTTCGATGACATTCTGAGCGATCCCGAACTCGTTCAAATTACTTCGGATCCTGAAATAAATGGAGATATCAATTTGGTATATGTATTGCTCTATGAGTTCCTGGCTGGAGCTGGTCTCGGAAGGGTGAGTTCTCACACCTTTAATATTGCTCAATGAAAGGTGTCTTGTTCGTTGCTAGTTTCACACAGCTCCAAAAGACTAGTCATAAACGCGTTACCCCTTTTGAAAGGAACCGCAGAAGGTTCATAACTTTTACTCTGATTTTTTAGGCATCACCACGTCTGCGGGGAGCAATCTACAAGCATACGAAGGCGATTCACGATAAAGTGGGTATTTTTCGTCTTAAACTCTTTTGAAACCGAGGAAATTATCATACTTCGTAGATTGGTCATTGTTTTCAATCAGTATTTTGCTTATTTTGTACTTGAATTACATTAATATTCTTGTTTGTGCTTTGTTATTTGTAATCCTATCTTCATTTTTATATTTACTTACATGTGTATTTATTTGTTTTCATCATCACCTATGCTTTTCTATTTCCCCTGACTGGACAGTCTTCCTCAATTTTATGAAGGAGTATATGGAAAGAAAGGAAACTCTATTTTGCACTGTTCACCGAGTGCAGTTTGCCGTTTTCAAATGAAATTCTTTAAAAAATTAAGGAGAAACTGTTAGCACAAGATGGACGAGGAGTAGCAGCTATCAAGGACCAGGGCGATTCCAGTGAATCAACGGCATTCATTCCACGTTATGCTCGTATTAACACACTGAAATGGACAGCAGAAGAAGCCATCGAACGACTCAAGTACGAGGATTGGAGAGTAAGTCCTATATACAGAGCGATCTTTGCCACCAATTCACTTTCGGAAGTTTTGTTCACGTTCCCTAAATTGAAGCTGCATGTTCATACTGTGCGTCAGCGTTTGAGCTTTTTGAACGTACGACCAGCATTTTGAGCGACTGGAAAAATATGGTGTCGATCTAGCGTTTTGAACGTTCCCTGACATACGCTGGCGTACGCTCAAAACGACGGAAAGCACATAGAACTCTAAGTGATGCAGAATGCTATAGAGTCATGGAAATCGTTACGATTGAGCTGTCGAGGCTTTCGTAACTGTGAAATAATTTTGTAGTATCTTGATGCCGTGACAGGGACTCTCAATCAGACAATTTATAGGTCACTCATCTGTCATCAGAAGACGACTTTGTCGATCGTGTTAGCAATTTGGCCGATGATGAATTTGGTGTGAGTTTTATGGAGTTCACATATCTAGAATTAGTTTTCTGTTCGATCGGCATCAAAAAGGGTCAAAGTTTCCCGTTTCCGCAAATGCCAGCAGGTGGGGTAATGCGTAACTAAGTAGGACTCACATTGGGTAATGCCGGCGAACAGTTCCGTTATGGCTAGACATACGGGGCGTCTCTTTCAGGAGTTAAGGAAAGGAAATGCTGTGAAAAGCGGACCTTCAAAGCATACTAGCTTTATCAACCTATCTGGCTTCTGTTTTAACATCGGCTACGATGTCCCGATTTGACTTACTGGCCGAGTTAACGAATTACGGGGCCGTACAATTGAACCAGGCGCTGAGTGTAAGGGGCGCTCACATCATTCTTGAATGTGACTGCTACTCAATGAGTCCGTGGATTTTGAGGGCAAACGCATGTTTGTTAACCTTCTTTAAATCTGTCCCATTCATAGGTTCTTGTTGATCCTCATGTCGACGATTTGTTAATTTTTCCGCACTCGAATGACTTTCATAAGTATTGGCTTGTGGAGCAGCGGTACCTTATTCTTCAAGAGCAAGGTACGATAAAACATTTGAATTAGAATTGACTTTGACCTATGGGCGCTAAAATGATTGGATGTGGCAGTTAGAACAATTCCTGTGCAAAAGTGAGACGTGCCATGATGTAGATTGAGGATTTTTGCCTGACCGCGGGAGAGCTCGGGTATCGATGAATCAGTATTAGGAGCAATGCTCCGATTGACATGACGTTAGTTCCACTTTTGCAGAAGTCCTTCAAGTGCCCCAAGAATCATAAGCCCCTTACCATGCAGAAGATAAGTATTAAAAATTCAATTTTTTTTCTAGGCATCCTGCTTACCGGCTTACCTACTGGCCCCTCCATCTGGTTCTCATGTTTTCGACACCTGTGCGGCTCCCGGAATGAAAACAAGCCACGTAGCTGCGATTTTAGGTGGAGAGGGGTTAGTTTCTTTTCAGTAGAGGTTTTCAAAGGTGTAAATGCAGCACACCTGTTTGGATCATTCCCTATGTAGCGACTGAATTTGCTAGCAGTGCAATTAGGGTATTTATTTAAGGCCGACCACTCAAACAAGGTGTCAAATGTTACTTTGTTTAATGTTGTGTTTAGGAAGATCTGGGCAATGGATCGTTCAGAAGACCGCGTTGAAACAATGAGAAAAATTTTGGAAGAGTGTGGAGTTGAGAATGCTTCCGTTTTCCACGGAGATTTTCTCAAGACTGATGTAAACGACAAGAAGTTTGCAAAGGCAAGAGCTGTTTCGTTAGTTCGTCTCATGTGTTCCCAGTAGTGATTTACTCGTAATTCAGGTAAGATACGCCATTGTTGATCCTCCTTGCTCTGGATCTGGTATGGTAAAACGAATGGACGAGTTGACGGGTGGCAATGCTCATCCAGAACGTTTAGCAAAATTGAGAAACCTTCAGGTTTTAATTTGCTCCCCTATACTTCTGAACTAACTGAGAGATGTTGTCAAACTGCGATTTATTTCCAGGCCATGATTTTGAAACACGCGTTGAAGTTCCCAAACTTGCAACGCGCAGTGTATTCTACATGTTCGATTCACGAGGAGGAGAACGAGGGTGTAGTAGATGAGGTATGTTTAATTTGATACTGAAATGGACTAAATGGCACTAATGAACGTTGTTTTGCACTGTTCAGATAGCACAGTCCTCTCAGGCGTAGAACTGTAAGAAATGCCAAGGCTGATGTAGGCCAGCAATCCAGTCTAGTAGAGTACTTGTTGATGCCGCGCTCATACTCAGCGACTGAGGAGAGTCGACGTTTTGGGGACTGGGGATTTGAAAGATTGCGCGCCAAAGGAAAGGGTGGGTATCGATTGGCGTCAGTCGCTAGCGATTGCGGAAATTCGGCGATCCGAGGGTTTGGGAGATTGAGCGATTTGACGCCAATGGATAATGTGCGATTTGGCGCCAACCATTCCTTCGTTTTGCGCGCAATCGCGGAAACGCCGAGTATCCTTAATACCCGGACTGTTCAATCTTTGCAGTCGCTAGATCGATACCTATACTTTCCTAGTCGCGCAATCTCTCGAATCGCTGTGTCTCCCAAAACGCCGTATGGGCGGCAAAAGGTTGATCCCACGCAGCCAAATGACCCGTGCTACACCTGCGAAATGTCTTTGGATTATTTTAGTAGAAGCTTGTACCGTCCGCTCGTTTTCAGGTACTGCTGGATACTTATGTGCGCCAGCACTTCCAACTGGCCTCTTCTGTGTTGCCAACGTGGACCCATAGAGGACTGGACACCTACGAATTTGGCAAAGACTGCCTCCGAGCTGACCCCGCAAAAACACTCACCAATGGATTCTTTGTTGCAGTCTTCGAGAGAATATCTAGTGAAGAGAATAATGAGAGCAAAAGTAAGAAAAAGAAAAAGCATAAAATCTATGCAAGTGATGAAGAGTCAATAGAGAAGAAAAGAAGAAAAACGGATGTGGAGGGCGTTATTAATGAAGAAGATGAATTTGTAGATGTAAAAAGTGTTAAAAAGAAAAACAAGCATAAGAAAAAGCATAGACAGGAAGAATGAGCCCCAAGAAATTGTTAGTCCAATTGTTATCGTTGTTTGTAGAGCTACTATAGTTTGGAGGGGCACGCGGTGAGACTAGCTTTCCGGAAACTGATTGCCTGCGCTTTTCCGAGGCAACGTTGAGACTCCGCGATGCGCACGTTGACGTTACGATTGCCGAACCACTTGCCTGAGAGAGTATGGAACAATAGGAGGTACGCGTCGGCTTGACCACTTAGTATCAGTCTATAGCACTGGAGCGCGGTTACAATGGTAGCGCTTCGATGCGCATTACAGCATGTCGTCATTCGTCATCGCGTAGTCTGAACGCTGCCTGAGGCGGGGATCATACGCCGTACGTACTGTAGCCGCCTGCACTCTCAGAGGCTGAGCATTTTCAGCATGGCTAGTCTGGTCGTTAGCTAGCCCCCACCCAATTACAGCAGTCCATTCTTTCTGTATTTTTCTTTCCTATGCATTTTGTTATAATAGTTTTCTGTTGAATTGTTTGTGGAATTGTTGTTGGAAAGTTGTTGCTTGTTTGAAATAAACTTGATAAATTTTTTCTAAAGAGTGTGACTTTGACAGGTAAAGAACCATGATCTTCACAGAGGGCAGCCACTTGTGCAGATGAACAATAGTATTAAAACTTGGGGGTGCGCAAACAATTGGCTGACGTTGGAGAGCTAGCAGGTACGAACGATGGCTGCGTAAGGCAGCGTTCAGACTTCGCGACGGCAGCGCTTCGGTCGCGCGATCGACGCGATCGATGCGCATGCTTTCGACTGCATCGATCGCGTCGAACGCGCGACCGAAGCGCTGCCGTCGCGAAGTCTGAACGCTGCTTAACGAAAGAATGGCGCGACGCCATCGGCACATGCAAAGACGGTTTGCCACGGGCCGCGCCTTACAACCATTCGGGAATTCCTGGTGCACAGGTGGGGTCTTATAATGTGTAAGCAACAAAACAACACTTCTAAAGCTGCAAATTCATTCGCGTTGCGACCATACTAACGTACACGTAATGAGGACTCGTTCATGATGGCCACTTCATAATGAAGGAAATTCGAGATACTCTTGAAATGGGACGATTTCCATTTAGAAGCCTCTTGTAGCAGAAACGTAATCTTTTGTGAAAGCGTCTAAGTAAGGTGTGACACTATCATCCAAATACTTCGTTTTCTTCAGGTACAGCAGTAGAACTTGATGGATATATAGGTACTGGTGCTCGGTCTAAAATTATACAAGCGATGGCCAAAAATTTTC